CTTTTTGATTACTTGGGCTTTCTCTATGATGTCAGTGAGAATAATGTACAGTATCTGGGTTTTCTCTGCATGCAATTAGACTAGATGTATCAACTTCAGCTTTTCATGTCAAGTTTAAAAAATAAAATAAACTCAGCAAATATCTGTAAAGCATAGATTAAGCATTTTGCTTAAATGCTAGGCTACTATTTTGTACAAAGTTGCCTCTTTAGTCAACTACTGCAAGAGATATTTCTTTAAGTAAAAAAAAGCATCTACCAGAAGAGCGTTTTACCCTTTGTTATGTGATACCGAAGACTCCCAAGGATTCTAGAATTGTTGTACAGTCATTCTAAACATCCTTGGCATCTTCATATGGGAGCTGGCCCAAGAATTTAAAGATGCACAGAAGAATTTCTAACACTTCCAGCAACTGCTAGGGTAAAATGCAAAGACACCACTTGAATGAAAAAGCACATTTCATATGGAGCATCAACATTACCTATACCATGGGGGGGGGGGAGGTTGCATATCTAGAGAATATGGGATTCATATGCCATCTATATACTACTACTAAAACTCTTGTGTCTGTAACCTTTGAGTAAAATGGTGCGCCATAAGGCAAAACTTTGTCACCATAGGTTCCTCAAAAGGACTAACTTACAAAACACTGGGAGCCATTACTCATGAGGGAATGAAATTTGGGGAAGTTGTGGCTGTTCAGTGCTGCCAGGCTGCTGCTACAATCACGTGATCCTTGTTTTCAATGTTCCATGAAAGTTTCCCAGCCACTTAAGTAATCCCTTGTTTCTTCCCCTCCTGTGGGAAGGGAAGAGATGAGAAGGGAAGGGGAATTTCTGATGCTCACTGCCAGCTTCCCACAAGGAAATTCAATGAGAAAGCTGACAGAAAATTGAAAATTGCTGCTGCTTGTAATGACTTTTTGCCCACCTTTGTCTCCCTGTTCAAGTAAGGCAGGCATGTCAAATATGCGGCCCACCGGCCAGATGCAGCCTGCACAGGCTATGTCCATCCTGGCCCCGCAAGGGAAAAACAAATCTTGATACCTCACGAAATAGCTGTGATGCAATTGGGTTTGACACACTGAAGTAAGGCAATATCTGTTAAATGATGACATGTGATCCTCATTTAAAATGGTCCATGGAATCTTCTAATAAATGAACAGGGAAACATGAGAAGCTTGCAGTCATACCACACTGGTCAGTCATGACCCAACAAGTCACAAATTGTCTAGAATCTTATAAAACTGTTTGCGTGTCAATACCAGAATTGTAAGAAATATATTAAATGCAATTCAAATACTTTTTCATTTCAAATCTTTTGTGAATTACATGCTTTTCTTTATCTCCCTGCAATTTCAAAAGGGCTAAGAATTTAATTATGCAAAATTTAGGAATTTTTTTTTGTAAACATTAACTGCCCCACCCCAATGAAAATGTTTTTTTCCAAACATACTAAGAATTGTGCAAATATGTTTAAAAACACGTTGCACATTTTTTTCAGCATTATTAATAAATGGTATCAAAGCAGGTTAAAACAAAAGTTAAAATTCACGGATATTTGCAAGTATAAAAGTTATTTGTTTATGTGTGCATTTATGTATTTATATGGCTGCCCAACTCAAATTATGTGACTGAGTAGCATATAAAAACAAAAATCCTATATAATGCAAAATAATATAGTGCATTAAAACATACTAACCAATAAAATGATGAACAGATTTGAACACTTCTGTAACTCAGACACTGAGGTCTCCATTCAAATTTAGCGCAAAGCATTATACATAATATATATGACAGTCAAAATTCAGAATGGAATGTAAATTCACTGTAACTCTTAGTCTTATTAGGTTTTAGAATTACAAAAATAGCTTTGTTCAAGTCCTTATGATATATGATACAAAATGTGGATACACAAGATGTTTGCTAGATAAGAGTTTAGGATCCTTCGAGTCAAGAATGTTTATTAATTATTAACTTTAATATTTATGCAGGTTGCTCTTTTCTAAAGCTGATTTTGTAAAGATAAGCAGTTAAGCATAGCAAAATGAGAAAAGTAGCTTTATTAACCTTTTAACCTTCTTCACATGCTGTATGTAGGAGCTCCTTATTGTTTCCCATATTAAAGGATTGAAAAATGGTTTTTCAGTCTTGTGCTCCCAACACTCTTCTGAAGTCATGTAATGTGACAGATAGCACATTGCTCTGTGTAGCAATGACATATTCACATTTATAGTTATTCGCTCATTCTTATATTGCTAATGGACGTACCAAAATGCCCAATTAACTGAATTCCCTATAGCTCATTCAAGTGATGGGCATGTTAATATTAAGCCTGTTTATAAAATCAGTGTTGTCCAAGGTTGCTCTTATTCCTATATGTGTACAACAATGTGGAAAATCCATATTGATGGTCCAGTTAGCAAGAACGTGTCACTTTCTATCTATTCCTTTGTAAGACTCCTGTCCTGTGCTTTCTACAATAAACTCAGGATAACAAAGATAGATCTTATTTTACCTGTCTTATCTTCACAACCATCCTCTGAGGTAGATCTGGATTAAGAACTAACAACCAGTTCAAACTGCATATGCTAATGTAATGCACACAGATTGTGGGCACAGCTACATCTATAGGGCACAGTTTCAGAAATGTATTTCAGCATTTCATGTACCTCCAAATCAAGAGTTAATTCATAATCTAAAACTCATTTCAATTATACAACTACTGTATGAGTGAATGACATCCAGTAACATCCTCTGGCAGAATGAAGGGTGTGACTGCAATTTATTTGGATATGTAATTCAAACCCTAAGGATAAGAAAGAAGTAACAAAAATAAATGTCAAGTAAAAGTCAAACTAGAGATAGGTACTGTTCCAATGCCAACACCTAAAGCCACCAAAGTTTGCCATGCCATAAGGAGATATTAAACTTTGGGCCCCATCATGCAGCAGGAGACCTTTATAATTGCTTTCTGGGGCAACCATAATTTGGCAGTTTGAGCACACAATCCAAATATCCTGAATGTAATATTGTGCTTAAGGAAAAACAGCAAAAGGAACAATGATTGAGAACAGCAGCTGGAAAGAAAAGGGGACAAGCTCACCAAACCTTAAAGCAGTAATCCAATACTGTTAATTCTTCATCAACAACTGTTCACGTTCAGAAAAATGAAGGGAGGGATCTCAATTATCCATTTGCAAGCATAAATCAGAACTCATTTTCCATCAACACAGAACAATATGGACTGCGAGAGCCATATATTTTAAACCAAGACATGGACTGCACCAGATTTGTAAACATATTTCAATATTATTTTCTCTTATAATGACCCATACAAACTTTTCAAAAGAAAAATAAGATTCAGTTTTCATAATAGCAATGAGTGTCTTTTCCATTCAGCTGCAAATCTGCTTTGGAGTGTTCTGCAAGAAAAACTCCTTCTGCCTTGGTTGTTTTTTTTGGGGGGGGGGGGGGAAATCAAAATGCTTCCCAGCTGCTGCTAAAATTCATTGTCTTTATCTTAATGGCTGTGAGGAGAGAGCAGGCATGGCACCCTGAACATGCCTGTGTTTTAAAAAGCATGCTTCATTCAATTATACAGACATAAAGGTTTAAAAGGAAGGACAAAACTCTCCACAACAAGGAAGCCTTTTCTATCTGAAATTGGTCATTTCTGCTGCCAGTCTGTCTCTCTTGGCTGCGGAACAAAAGCCACCAGTTCCAGCATATGTCCTCTTGCACATGTTTAATCTGCCAACTGTGCACATTACCCAACCCTCTGTGTCAATTCAAGCACGTTTATCTGCCAACCACACTGATTTATCAGGGAGCTTATTTCCATGAAAGCCTGCTAGGGGATGACAGTTTTTGAAGAGGACATCATTATTAAGTATCATTTTACACACCAGGCCATTTTAACTGGCATTGATATACAATATTCTCATAAAAACTAGTGATTCTCCTTTTCAAGTCAAAATGAATTTAGAAAAGATGACTTTTTTTTTAAACCAGGAAAATATGAAGCTTGCTGACATCAAATGATCTACCCATTTCCCATCATTATCTGTTTGAATGGAAGCAGCTTTCCAAAATCAAAATCCTTCATGCTCTGCAAGCTGAAAAGCTATTAGTAAGAAGCATCCCACCTACTCCTTGACTACCATTACTCCTACTTTCCGGTTTGGCTCTAGATACACCTGCAAGGGTTTAAATCTTGCGATAGATGGCAAGAGGCATTATGGAGTACTTCACGCAATTGTATTCATGGACACAGAAGAGAATTATAAACTACAGAGGTTTCTAATGCTGCTAATTTCACTCAATTTCCTGCCCTGAAGTAACATTTAAATTCTGGAGGGAGATTTAATTGAAACAGTTTTTTTAAAAACAAAAAAAAGCTTCAAAGCTTTGGGAGAAAAAAGCACAGAGAAATACATAGAAATAAATTACCTTCTTTACAGCTCCCTTATAGCCTAGCTAGCCTAAGCCTAAACCGCCACGCCGTCCATGCCTGACAGCTTATCTCAATTGTAGCTGAGGATGTGCCCGACACAAATCTTATTCTCCGGCCACAGGACAGAAAGCAACACGTGCTACAAAGGGGAAAAAAGGCGGGGCACAAAGACGCACACACTCAGAAGACCAGAAAACGCCACTATTTGCACCACCAGGAGAACTGCAACGACGCACGGACAGCATGACAAGGGCCAATGCAAAAACCCCTTGGTTAGATTCAAGGGCAGCGGCTTGCAGGGACTTGGTAGCTCCGGTCATCTAGGAGAAAAAAGAGCGGGGGAGGCCGAGGAGGCGCGGGGGACCACAGCCGCTCTTTACCCCCAGCGGACATCAGAGAACAGCTCAGCCTTAGCAGCCAAAGGGAAGCATCCTTGTCTCGGGGGAAAGGGCTTTCCCGGAGCGGTTTCCTGGACCCGTGTCCAGTGCGACCTCCGCAGGGACTAACGGAGGCGGCAGCGCTCTTAGACGCCCCGCCCCAAGTACCTGCCAAGCTCTTGTGCGCTGTGTTGCCCATCGCTCCCTCATTCACTCACGCCGCTCAGAGGGAGGTTGCCGAGCACGACGCTGTCCGAGCTGCACCGCGCTCTGAGTCAGGGCCATTGACGGCCCCAGGGACGGAGAGGGCCACCGGCGGTTCCCGGTTGGGCTGCTCTTTGCTCGCTGTTTCCCTGCCCAGGATCCGGAGCAGCACTGAATGCAGCTCCGACAGCCAGCAGCTCCCCGGGGCCGGGGCCGCCTCCTCTGAAGGGTTGGCTGAGAGCTGGCAGCCCAACCCTTTTCTCCGCCCAGCCGGGGAGGAGCCCACCGTGCACGCATTGTTTGAAAGTTGGCAGCTGCCTGCCTGCTGCCTGGCATAACGTAAGGCGGGACAGCTGCGCTGAAGCGAAGAAGCAAGCCTAGGCGGTTGTGTCGTCACAATACGCGCGTGGGGAGGCAGGCTGCGGGAACGGTCGACTTGGTGGAGGGGGGAAGCCTCCGGTACCTTAGAAAGCTTAGTCTCCAAGGGTGAGTGGGGAATGGGCGCGCTTAGGATCAGGTACATTCGGCTGGAAAGCAAAGTATCGTTCACAGTTCCGGGCTGTACTTGGGGAGGGGGGGCAATCCTGCGACTGAAGAAGCATGTTGTACCCTACCCTCGGTGATCATTTGGGGGTATCTCGGCCGAGGGAAGCCTGCAGAATTGCTGCGTCCAGAAGAATATTAAGACGAATGGCGATTCTCGTCATCCTCGCCATGCGGTGGTTTCTCTGTCTTACAATTCAATGAAACCGTATTTCGACAAAACCGTGCCCAGTTCAGTTGATTTCGGCGAGCCGCTATCAGGCAGACATAAACCTGCTCCTTAAAACACAACAGACCTCCCTCTGTGACCCAGCACATTACAAAAAAGGTGTTGAGATATTGGAAAAAGTGCACAGAAGAGCAACTAAGATGATTAAAAGCCTGGAGACTAAAACATCTAAAGAAAGGTTGCAGGAACTGGGCATGGCCAATTAGAGAAAAGAAGGACTAAGTGACATGATAGTAGTATTCCAGTATTTGAGGGGCTGCCACAAAGAATAGGGGGTCAACTTATTTTCTAAAGCACCAGAAGGCAAGACAAGAAAGAATGGATGGAAACTGATCAAGGAGAGAAGCAACCTGGAATTAAGGAGAAACTTCCTAACAGTGAGAACAATTAATCAGTGGAACAGCTTGCCTTCAGAAGTTGTGGGTGCTTCATCACTGGAAGTTTTTAAGAAGAGAGTGGACAGCCACTTGTCTGAAATTATATAGGATCACCTGCTTGAGCAGGGTTGGAGTAGAAGACCTTCAAGGCCCCTTCCAGCTCTGTTCTGATTGATTAGGAGCAGGTGATATTTAACATCTCAACTGGATAGAGGAGGCAAGTCAAACAGCAGTTAGAAAAGGTATATATAACAGAAGGAACAGAACAGCTTGAGAATGCTAAAGGAAGCACTTCTTTTACCCTGCCATTGTAGCTAGGTGATCAAAATCACTAAAAAGAACATAAGAGGTGAAACACTCTTAACTGTATAATTTTACATACAGATTATGTCAGTGCACAAATGCCAGGAATAAATTTGTAAATAGCCTTTTTGTTGTACTGATTTTGTATTGATGTGTACATATTCCTTTGTGGCAATTGTATGTCTCACTAATGAGATTCTAAAAAATTCACCTTGCCTTTTGAGCTATCAGCAAATACTGAGGTCAGCCAAAATTTCCAAGAAAGTAACTTAGTACCAAATTAATTATACTCTTTTAAGTTTCTATTATGTGAAATACATTCATTTTTTTAAAAAAAAATATTAAAACAACTTAAAGTTAAATCTTCCTTGAGAACCATCTTTGGGTTTCCCATACTCAATATTTTATATTTCTCTTCCATCCATGACTATTAAAAAATGGAGTCAGTTCTAAAATAATCATGCCAATTGTTCTGCGATGGCTTTTATTGGAAACACATAGGATGTAAGACTTTATAAATTATGCAGGGATAGAAAATTTTGGGAAAACCAGTTTTATGGCTAAGGCACCAGGTTAGAAAGTGGGAGATTGTGAGTTCTAGTCCTACTTTAGGCCTAAAGCAGTGTTTCTCAACCTTGACAATTTTAAGGCATGTGGACTTCAGCTCCCAGAATTCCACAGCCAGCAATGCTGGCTGTGGAATTCTGGGAGTTGAAGTCCACATGCCTTAAAATTGTCAAGGTTGAGAAACACTGACCTAAAGTCAGCTGTAAGCCAGTCACTTGGTACCTTCCAGCCCTAGGAGGAGACAATTGCAAATCGCTTCTGAAAAACCTTGTCATGAAACCTGCAGGAACAAGGACTTGACCAGGCAGTTGCCAGGAATCAAGAGTGACTTGGCAGAAAAAGAAAAAAAGGGGAGGGGTAATACAATGGATTAATATTGTTCCACAACAATTTAATAAAACCAAGTGCTTTCAACTGAATAGTTAAAGAAAAGCAAATGTATCAGCTATGATAAAGTTAAAATTATCACTGGGAAGGTACTGTGTGACGTCAAATGGTTGCACTACAGTATCTAGTATGCGTGGGAGGGAGATTGTTTGTTTTTTATACATTTAAGTCAATCTTGATTCCTGGTGACTTGTCTGTGTATTTTGCTTGGCCAAATTTTTTGGAAATGGTTTGCCTTTGCCTTCTTTCTTGGGCTGAGAAGGAGTGACTAGCCCAGATATGCAGCTAGTTTCATGCTTAACGCAAGCCTAGAACTCATAATCTCCCAGCTTTTAGCCTGTTGCCTTAAGCTTTTTCCTTTAACTGCTACACCAAACTGGATCTCTTAATAGGGTTAGTCAAATAATTTCATATGTATCACATGATATAGTAGTTATATTTCAGTTTTTTGTGTAAGGTGACCTTATGCATTTTAATTAGAAGTTAAACCCCCACTTCCTATTAAGTGTACAACCCTGTCTTACAGATGTTAATTCAGAAAAAAAACCTATTCCATTCCAACTAGGTTTGTTCTGTTTTTGTGAGACTAGGCTTCTAGCCTTATAGAGCAATATTATGCTATTTATTTGAAGATAAGGTTTACTATTCAATCAAGGAGGTCATAAGAATGAATTTAATAAGTTACTGGGAATATGCATGATAAAATGCAGCACATAACAAAACTGCATTTCATTTTGCTCTGGTTTTCTACAGCAGTGGTCCCCAACCTTTTTGGCACCAGGAACCTGTTTCACAGAAGACAATTTTCCCACAGACTGGGGGAGGAGGAGGAGTTGGAGACAACTTAGATCCCTTGCTTGTGCAGTTTATAGTAGGGTTTATACTTCTATGAGAATCTAATGCCAGATGACTTGAGGTGGAGCTGAGGGGGTGATGCTAGTGCTAGGGAGCAGCTGCAAGTACAGATGAAGCTTTGCTCACTCACTCACCGTTCACCTCCATCTGTGTGGCCCAGTTCCTAACAGGTCACGGACCGGTACCAGTCCATGCCCCAGGGGTTGGAAACCCCTGTTCTATAGCTGGCCCCAACTTGGTACCTTCCAAATGCATTGGCATAGCAATTGCTAGATTAGGTCAACTCTACCCCAGTGATTCTTGTTAGAATTACTGAGAATTTGAGCAGTTTCAAACATTAATATGACTGAGTTCTTTATGTTATGTCAACCTGTAAGGAAGAGTTATTAAATATTAGATAATATGCCAAAGAAAAAATTAAAAAACACTAGAGTCCCAATCATAGAGTTCTTGTAATTGTGATTTGATACCATACAATATGACACAGAACTACATATATTATATACTATGTTATCTCACTAATCCAGGCCTTAGCTTGTAAAAACAATTACATCAGTGTATGGAAAAATTGCCAGATAAAAACATCTTATTAGCAACAACTGTCAGAACTGTACTGTGTAATATATATTACTATATTTTGGTTGGTATGGTTTTTATTGCCTGATACTAGTTGAAATCAACTCAATTATTTTTTCAAAATTAGAAAAGTCAGTGTTCACAGTTTTATAAGTTAAGAGCATGACTCTTTTTCCTCGTACATTTTGATGGTGGCAAGCAGGCAGAACATGAGTACATTAGGAATAAAGATTTCTCACATCCTGATTTTACATGGACATAATTATCTGGTGGTCTTGACAAAAATACCAAAGTGCTTTGCCATTCTCTCTTTAAGATTGTTTTTCCAATTTTGCCCTCCTGCCTACAGCCCTGGGGTTTCTGGTAGTCTCCCAAGTACCAGCCAGGTACAATCTTGCTATTTTTTCTTTCGACATCATCCAAAATTGACTAGGTGCTGCCACCTGTGTTGTAGAATCTGAATTAATACAATACTTCTCAAAAACAATGAAACTTGCCCAACACAGTTTATATAGCAACCAAATAAATCTCCAGGAAAGAAAAATCATAGGGAAGAGGGAAGTGGAGAGTGGTGATAGGAAAATATTCTTCATTAAATACGTAGAGAGGGGCATTTGAAGAAGAGAAAATCCCCTATAGCTATTACACATTTCGAAAGAAGTGGATGATACATTATGAGGCTTAATAAACACTTTATGTACAAAAAACAGTTTCTAGTCATTTTCCAAATGAATAAATAAACCACATGGTTTCTTTTTATTCAAGCCCCTTTTTCAATAAAAAAATAAAAAATGAAGCCTAGAAGAAAACATGCTCCACACTTTACATTTCTACTTTGTAATTTTCATTTAGACCCCTAAAAAATTAAAATAATTATTCAGAAAGTTATTTATGCTTGCAATATCTGAGGAATTTTATGTCTCCTAATATTATTATTAGTTCTGTACAATAAACTTAACTTTTCAGGAAGAAATTTATTTTTGGTGAAAGAAAAAAGATAAAAAGAAAAGACCTACAGTTCGGAAAGCCAAACTTATACAAAGTCATGAAACAATTCACCTTTTGTTAACAAAGCTTGGATAAAGACATACAGTAAGCTTAATTCAAATAATAATGAAATATTATTGAAGCAAAAAATAGGATATAAATTGTCATGAAACTAATGTAATACCTCTGTAATTTTATAAATACGTTCCTGAATTAAGTTCATCCCTATTATATTTTGCATATTTAGAAATAAAAATAGCAATCTGAATTGTCACTCCAACATTTCATAACTCATTTTTATATCAGTATAAATGTATTCATTTGGGTGTAATGGTTTATTATTGGTACTTTTTAAGTATATCTGTAAGCCCTACAAGGAGCTTAGAAACATTTCTCAGATTTTGCTTTACATTAAAATTAAAAGAATGTGAAC